AATTTCTTTCGGGTTACAACCAACTCGGGATACGCCCAGAGTCACGGAACGGATTAAGTTCGTATCCCGAGGTACCACTGTAATTACGAATGTTACGCTTGAGTAAAGTTCTTTGCTGAACACACGTGTCACGAGAATTTCTCTGAGTCAGAGTAAACTTTACATAACTAACCAGTGTGAGAGCAAGTTTCCTCCCTAAGGTAGTAGGCCTTCCAGTGCAACTCCTGTTCATTTTAATTATGTGTCATCTAGTTTGTTTGTTTAAAAGATTTATACTGCTGCCCATCTTAAGCAACTCTGGGCGGCTCACAACAACAATAAAACCAATAAATAAAACAACCATAAAAAAGTTAAAAACAGAGAAACAATAAAACAAAAACCCTGCATTGTAATAATTTCCTTGGGATGCCCCACAGCAGGCTCAGCTGCGCTCCTCCCATACTATCTGCCTATACGCTCCTATCCCAGGGCCTCAATAAAAAGCCAGGTCTTAATGGCCTTCTGAAAGGTTAGAAGGGTGGGGGCCTGTTGAATCGCCAGTGGGAGGGGGTTCCACAAGGTAGGGGCAATGATGGAAAAGACACACTTATGAAGTTGCACTAGAGATTTCAGGAAGGGGACCTGGAGCGTGCCCACCCTATCTGATCTAGTGGGACGGGCAGATATTCTTAGGGAGAGGTGGTCCCGCAAATAACCAGGTCCTGTGCCATGTTAGAGATGATAACCAGCACCATGAATTGCACCCAGAAGAAAACTGAGAACTAGTGCAGCTTGCACAATAAAGGTGTAACATGTGCAAACCTACGGGCACCCAATACTGTGCGCACCACTGCATTCTGGACCAGTTGTAACTTCTGAGAGGTCTTCAAGGGCAGCCCCATGTAAAGCGCATTGCAGTAATCCAACCAGGAGGTGACTAAGGCGTGAGTGACCGTGAGCAAATTCCTCCTGGTCCAGGAAAGGGCACAACTGGCACACAAGATGGATCTGTGCAAAGGCCCCCCCCAGCCACGGCTGACATCTGTTCATCAAGCAGGAGCTGTGAATCCAAGAGGACCCCCAAATTGCACACCAGCTCAGTCCAGGGGAGTGCAACCCTGTCCAGAGTCAAAGATGACAGGCCACCAGACCCTGGGGGGCCAAAAACCTAAAGCCACTCCATCTTGCCAGGATTGATCTGAAGTTTGTTCAATCCCATCCAGACCCTTACAGTCTCCAGGCATTCAGACAGCACCCCAACAGCATCATCTGCCTGGCCCAGGGTAGAGATGTATAACCGGGTATCATCAGCATACTGATGATACCATACCCCTTGCTGTTGGATGATCTCACCTAGTGGTTTCATGTAGATGTTAAAGAGGAGAGATGAGAGACCCAAGCCCTGAGGCACCTCAAACTGCAGGGGCCTAGGGCTTAACCTCTCCTGACCCATCAACATTAACTGGGACTGACCACGGAGAAAGGAGGAGAACCACTGCACAATGGTGCCTCCCACTCCCAACCTCTGGAGCCAGTCTAGAAGGATACCATGGTCGATGGTATCAAAAGCCACTGAGAAATCCAGGAGAGCCAGGACAGTTGCACTACCCCCATCCTGGGCCCTCCAAAGGTCATTATAGTGCAAATGCAGTCCCCCGCTACCACAAATTATGCAGTCGAGTTTCCCACATTGGGGGAAATTGCAGGGATCAGCACACCCAGAGTGCAATGGTTGAGCCTCCCCCGGGGAAAACCACTTTTGTGATCATGGTATCTCCCCTGCCAGGTGGCTGGCATTAACTCTTAGTGACCACATAGGCAGACCTTCCTCAAGATGATCTGTACCCCGTCTGGCTCTTCAAGTCTTCCAACAGTGCCCCCATCACCACTGTAGCTGAGTCCATCCACCCTGCTGCTGATCATCCTCTTCCTTACCTTCCTCCTTTCCCAGCATTAGAGCCTTTTCCAGAGAGCTGGGTCTTTGCATAATGGGTGCAAAATACAATAATTTGAGCCTGGTCATTTGTGCCTCAAGTGAGAAATCTGAATTGATTGTATGACTCCTGATCATTACACCTTAAATTGCTCCTACTTGCTCTTACTTGCCTTACTTCTTACTTGCATAAGAATTCATTCTAAACAATCTGTGTTTATTATTAAGTCTGACTTTCGGTCAAGTCCTCTAACTATGAAGACAAATGTGGTTAATGCAATGTAGGGATATGGTGGGAATACATTTATCGAGCCATGAGTTTTTTTCTGTCCATCAGAATATAGGCATATCATTTTCAGAATTCCATTTACAGGACCTCAAAAGCCAGGATTTTGAAGCTTGAATTCTGAATGATACTATTTCAGGCAGCCAATATGATAGGTTCAGAAGTTGCTGTAACATGCTCACAGACTAGTCAGACAAATGACTTAATCATTTATTCAAGAAAATAAAGAGGTATAAAAAGAAGCAGCAGCATCAAATCCTCCACATAAATCCTTTTTTGGATTTATAAATCTCCAGTCCTATTCTATCAGACTCTACAGAGAAGGATTTCTTAATCCTTTGAACAAGAAAAACATTTATCTTCAAGATACCTTTGCCCTGTACCAACCAAGCAGCTTATTAAGCTCAAATTATTATCTCTGGGTTAGCTAAGGCTACAGTCCTGTACACACCGAATATAGGATTTACTTCTGAGTAAACATGTTAAAGATCTGTGCAGTTATAGGAGAAGGAGCATGAGTGTGCTTTTCCTACATAAATCTTTTGCTTGTGACATGACACCTTCTACTGTATGTCCTGCTCTTTCTCTTAAAAAACTAATCTATAAAGGAAGGAGATTCAGTATTTTTTCATTCTAAATTACTCATTTCCTAGAAACCTGTTCAGTCATTTTAAATCCAAGATAAGGCACCTATTTCCATTCTTCATTGGATCAGGACAAACACAAGGAAGACATTTTAGTGCTTCTATTACTGAGGCAGCAGTTTTATGAGCATGATTTTAGAAGAAGTTGAACTGCAACCACCAGATCTTTATATCTTCCCCTGAATCTGGATTTTGGCAAGATTACAAACATGGTCCATATCTTTTGGATACAGAGCATTCTTCTTTATCTGGATCCATGGACTTCCAAAGTGGAAGCAACAACCCTCTATAGGGTGTCATGGTGAGGGGCCAGGATACTTGGGTTCTTTCATGTCTAAGGACTGGTGGTGGTGCCAGGAAAATTCTTGCCTATGATTTTTGAACTCTATAGGACCTCTACCACTGCTGTATGGTCTGTTTTACTTCCAAAGTGCGACAGGTTTCTAGATGGAGGGGGAGGAGCCCTTCTTTGCTCCAGCACACTTTCTTTTCACCCGTAGATTCCTCTGAATCTTGATAATCAATAGAGCCAGTTTGGTGTAGTGGCTAAGGCACCATGCTAGAAACTGGGAGACTGTGAGTTCTAGTCTCACCCTAGCCACAAAGCCAACTGGGTGACCTTGGGCCAGTCACTCTCTCTCAGCCCTAGGAAGAAGAAGGCAATGGCAAACCAATTCCCAAATCTTGCCAAGAAAACCGCAGGGACCTGTCCAGGCAATCACCACGAGTCAACACTGACTTGAAGGCACTAAATACCTACTTACCTACCTACCTACCAGTGAACTCTCAGGACCACATACACACTTCCTACTACCGAGCTCCAGCTTAACTTCTCATTAACATAAGCAGCGTGATTTTGTGAAGTAACTTGTTTCTTAAATTCTCAACCTTGTTTATTATTGTTTGGTCCCATAGGAGAAGGGTAAAAAAATTTTTTGCTAGTACTACTGATTGACTTGTATAAAAGACTCAAGGTTCAATTAAAACTCAAGTTGTCCAAATTGAAGATGCCTACACAAGACAAAATGTTTTAATTTCTGAACATTCCTACAACATGTGCTTTTCTATTAATACCAAAGAACATTTTGGGGGCTGAAAAATACAACTTGGAAGGAAAACGTGTTTCTTTCTCCACTCCTTCCTTCCGCCTTTTCTTGACCCTAAGCCAGTGATACTCCCCATAACATATGAGAAGCTAATCTAGATTCAGAAATGTTATAGCAGAGCTGTGCTGAGTAGAAATCTATTTTAAAAAATCATGCATAACATGCTGAAGGAAAAAAAAAGAGTCCCTTACCCATAAGGAACACACTTCAAAAAGAACTCAATGAATTAAAAGGGCAGCAAATAAATACTGTTTATTTCAGAAGTGGCCAACATAGTCCTTACAGGTACCAAACTGCCCATTGTGCCTGAAATATTAATTTATAATTGATATGAGTACTTGTATGAAATTTCAGGCAGGGTTTTTTGATGGGGGGAGCTTGAAGTCAAGCAACCAAATACTAAACCAATCAGATCCAACTTAATCAACTCAAGACTTCCAAACTGTAACACTTACTGTTCCTACTAAGGGATACAGGAATCCTGCACCCACACTGGCTCGAACATCTCTGATGGGTAAGATGAATCCAGTGGGCACTCCTTTCCGCTCTGGGTCATGAGACAGCGACAAATGGGTTTTAGCCATACAGATGGGCAAGTTTCCAAATCCCTAGATGACAGACATAGAAGAGTCAATGATTGCAAAAGAAAGGACATCACTTGAACAGTATGCCAGAAAAAAGTTAACACATTGTTCTAAATCAAATTTGGCTCTAGCCGTTCATCTGAGCTTGCTAGATGATTTCTGTCAATCACATGCATCTCTTTTCTAACTACCAAGGGGCTTTAGTTTTTTTAAAAATAATGTTGACTGGACATTTTTAACATGCAACTCCAACTTATCTGAAGGACCCCAGCTTAGGGGAGGCTCTGCAAGGAAGTGACACAGATCTACTGTTACTCTTTCATTTCAGGGTCATTTGCCCCCATTTAAGGTTATAGTTGGTGACCCTGGTACTGAATATATAAAGCCTTTTCCAAATAGATCAGACCAGAATTCCCAGAATTCCACAGCCAGCAATCATTGGCTTTGTCTCTAGAATAACTGAAGGCTGTGTAGAGTCAAGGCTGGGGAACCTATAGCCAAAACATATCTGGAGGGATACATTTCCCATAATCTCTACCCACTAACCAGTCTGGGTGGAACTGATGGGAGTTGGAATTTAACATCTGAAAGGCCACAGCCCACTAGCCCTCAGAAACATATGCACACACAGCAGCCAACTGTATATTGTGCCACAATAAATATCTAAGTTTGATCCAGTTAGAGGACATCCCATTACTTTCAACTATACTTCTGCTATCCTAAAAGAACTCCTGCCTTTTCAAACTATCAGTGATCTATTATAGTGCTATTGTAATTTTTCTGTGTACTATGTTTAACAAGTTATTATTTTGTTTAAAGAAGTCACTCCAGCTGCTATGCCATTTTTGCTTAACATGTCTTTACAAGGATCTAGTATATAACTTGGCCATTGAAAAAAAATAAAACACTGGATTTCAGCTGTTTGGAACATATATTTCAGCTGAGATCTTTAACTGTGAATGCCACAATTGTACATTATGAAATAGCACCAACTATCCAGTGAAACTGCCAAATGTATTTTAATGGACCCATAGGAAATTAAAAAGAAAAACCCTTGTATAACACATTTTTTTTGGAAAGAATGCTCTGTATGTGTTTGCCTAAAAACGTGATTGTGATATATGTAACACATAAATAATCAACCAAAAGAATCTGTCCTACACCTCATATCAAGAAATGCTGAATGGCTTGCCATGAAAGTGCCATATTAGAGCCATGTCAAAATGCTGAAAGAAGTCTTCTCTTCCAAAAGAATAATTTTCTAAAGAATGTTGCACTAGTTTTACTTCTTAAAAAATGTAGTTGTGCTCAGTTCTGCCTGCATACCCACATAAGATCAGAAGATGCATTAAATTTAACCCAAAGGTAGGGTATCTGCAGGTGTACCTGTTTGGTATATTGAATAATTTTCATCTCAGCTTCTGGCAGCAGTTCAATGTCATCTGCCCCATAGATCTTCTGTGCAATAATTCTGATCTTCTCTGTAACCGGCAGCTAGGAACATGAAAAAGGGGAAAACATGTCAGGCAGAGTTTCCCATATCCTCACAGCAGTCTGAATTAAGATACAGCAGCCATTTGGACTGTAGAAAATCACTGCAGTTTCATCAAACATCTTTTCCAACAGAACATTTACTGCAACATAATTACAAGAGAAAAATGGGAAGTTTTCCATTTTACAGTCTCTACAGACAGACAATCTTGGCCAGACTTCCCCAATCTGGTACTCTCCAGATACATTGGGATTTGCAATTCCCCAAACTCCTAAATCAATATGAAAATCTCAACGTAACTAGGAGGCACTGGCCTGGGAAAATCAATTTAGTCTGGAGCAGAGTATTCCCATCTCAGTTTCACTGAAAAGAAACAGCTATCTCTAGTCATTTGTTCTTTAATACAGAGAAAATGTGATACAGACTACAAGAGGGACCTGATGCCACCTCACAAAAGCTTCCTTTTAGCAGAGTGTGTTGTGCATATACTTAGTATGGACTTTTGTAGAGGCTGAAGCCCATATGGCCACTTCTACACAGTTACTAGGAATTGCCTTTTTCCCCATGGCTATACACAGACTTGGCTGAAATATCACGCTCAACCAAAACCAAACAAATGACACTATGGCTTACTGGGAATAAGCATCTGTGGCTTGGTTCAGACATCATGCTCAACCACCACCAATTATGACTTAGCATGATATGTGAATTACACTGGCATAATTTGTTGTAGGAGGAGAGACATGTCTTAAATACAAGTTGGAAGTGCGCTCAAGGGAATCCCCCAGCTTGCTTTGGTCTTTTCATGAGTTAGTTTATAATGCCACATGCAGTGACTCTTCCAGCATCTACATACTTTGCATGGAGGAAATGCTGCCACTTTCAGGACAGAAGGGTAACACTGTTGCGTTGGGGACTGCACTGATTCCAACACAACCAATCAGGAATAGCACAAGTGGACAGAGTTATTGATGGGGCAGCAATGGCATAATAAGCACATAAACCCATGAAAGCATACCATGTGAATGTTCTCTCCCTCTCCTGACTGAGCAAGAGTCAAAGCTGTAACATGATGTGCTTGGTTATGGCTTAGTGTGATGTGTGGCTTACTCAGCAATCTGTAGTTAAAACAATCATAGCTTAGCACAAAAGGGGAGCTAAGATACACACAGACTCTGGGAGGAAGGATGAAGTTAACTTCTACTTCCCAGGGCCTCTGGGATCTGCTTCTCTGCTACTACTAAGTGATTGCAATTCTCCATACTTATTGAGAACACCTTTTTCTTGGGGGTGGGGATGATAAAATGTGCACTGTGGCATACATACATTTTGTACACAGGTCATGTTGCATGCACATACATAGGGATAGAACTTTTGTCATTTTGATGAAACTTCTGAATCCCACAGATGAGTCTGTCAGGAGTCTGACTACACATAAAAGGTAGTTTCATAAAAGTATAAACATAAAGCATAGCATTTTAAAATTCATAATTCTTTCTTAATGCTTTTCCATCAAATAAGTCTCTCAAAAAGCTCCATAAAAGAAGAGCAAACATCAAGAAAGTTGATTGGAATGACAAGAAAAAGCTTCAAATTTTAGTGCAGGGCACTAAAATTCAGTGCTGGTAAGAAAGAAGAAAGAAAAACCGTGGAAGGAAATTTAATGACACCTAAAACAGCATGGTTTCTAGTAAGTTTAAGTATTCCTTCAAATCATCAATCATCAAGTCACAAAGTTTTAAAACTGTATTATTTTCCATTGCTTTGAACATAAAAATCAAGTTCTGGATATCTGGAACAGCCAGAGAGGACGTCTGAAAATAATTTGATTGTGCTACTAACTCAAAGACCATGAAACCTTTATTAGGTTTAACTGGAGAGAGCCAGGAAGTTTGTCTGCATTTATAAAGCTGGTTCAGCTAGTATCCCCATGGAAGCCAAGACAAGTATTTCTGTAACCAGCTGTGATAACCCCAAATATCTTATCCTGTTGTCACGATCCCAATACTCTGTTCAATATCCAAGATTCTTCACTTTTTGAAATTATTTATTTAAAATACTGCATTTCCTCCCAGAGAAGCCCAATAACAGAAATAGTGAGTAAAAAAGGACACAGTAGCACCTTGACAGGCAAGAGGACTTTCCTCCAGGGAGTTTTCTTCATGCCAGATTTTCACCTGGCTAAATTTTTCCAGCATCTATTAACAGATTTCAATGCTTCAATTTTTAAGCTGTTAGCTTAATTTCCTTCACTATTCACTATCTTATTTTTAATAGGATTATCACATTTTCTTTAACCTTTGTTATGATTTTGGAGTCAAAGTTGACTCCAGCTGAAGGGCAAATCTTTCAATGAAGGGTACCGTAAATCAGAGTAACCTTAAATGAAGAAACACAGAACACTGATTTCTGCCAACTGCTGTAATTACTCGAAAGGAAATTGACACATTTAAAATAACATCCACCCCCAAAGGTAGGCAGGCAGGAAAAAAATGATCTCCCTCCATTACTATGTTGTCATTTTCCCCATATAGTAAACCGTTTGGAAAAAAATTGTCTTCCTTTCAAATGCTGAGTGTTGTATGCATTACTACAATCAGCCAGCCAATCCATCTCACAGTATACACCATTCCTTTTCATACAAAGCTAGACAGCAAGGCATAGTCTTCACCTATTTGTTTTGCATTTCCTTCCTTAGTGTTTCACTTCCCCTAAAAAGATTTAAGATTCAAAACAAAGCCTTACCTCCACGTCATACAAGAACCTGAAATGGCTGGGGGCCTGTGATGCCCTCTGCACCGCTTCTGCCAATGCCACAGCTCCTTTACCCCCATCAGCCCAGTGAGTGCATTTGACAGCATCAAACGCACCAGCTTCCTTAGCCAACCGGATGACCAGCTGTAGTTCTGCCTCTGTGTCTGATCTGTAAAGACAATAATTAATAGTCTTCCTATTGAAATGCCAATATACCAATACTGGACTTTATACTGGAAATGCCCTGCCTCTTCCTTTCTCCCACACTGTACAAAACATCTTTCCAGTTTCAGCTTTACTGAGCTTCAGTAGCACACATGGACTAAAGTTACTGCCAGCCATGGTTATTTTTGAAATTGTGAAGATTATGGCTAAAGCTAACCATAGCTGGTTCATCATTAATATTGAGTTGGCCTGTCGCTGTTGCCCTTTAAGAAGACCTTGATTCTTCCCCAGGCACTAAGCCAGGAAGTTAGATGAGGTGGCTATACAACAAGAGTTGTGTGCTTTTGTAGGCAGCCATGGAGATGATGTTGGAGAAGCCATCCAGACAATAACAGATGCAGAAGAAGCATGTGTTAAGCAGGAAAGCACAGTATGAGAAAGAGACTCAGACTGGCTCCCCCCTAACTCCTTGGGGTATAAGAGAGGGAAAGGAAGCCACAGGTAGACTTGCAAGATTTCATTCTTAGAGCCTATCTTGATAAAGTATAGTTCTAGTCTTGGATAGTCAGTTTCCTGATCTGGTCTGCTTCATATGGCCAACAGTTTGGTCCATGGTGCAACATATTTTATTCTATTGCACATTATTGTATTTATCATTTTCTTTGTATTGGGTGTTGTTAGTAGCCCAAAATTGCCTGCTAAGCAGGTGGCCATATAAATTGATTAAACAAATACATTCAAAACAAAAGGGAAGAACTTGGTGAAGGAAAAAATATGCAGTACCCTAAGACATATCAGAATGTTTAGTCCTGTTGAAGAGCATAGTGAAGGGAAAACCCCAACCTCCTTGGGAGTAAACTGCTCAACATTAGGAAGCGAGTAGTATCAGACTCAATGCCTGATGAGCTTAAAGGTTGTGTGTGGAGGTTAAAGCTTAAAGGTTTTGATCTACAAAGAGATCAAAATGTGGTAGGAAGTGCTGCTGGACTTTTCGACTCAGCCCTGTAAAACTCTCCAAACCCTTCAAAGAGGCCTGGTTTTGAAGCACATCATTTCCCTGATGGAGAACTGAGCCATTCCCTCAAACAGGGAATGACAAACAGGGAAACAAAGGATCCAGTTCTTGTAAAAGAAAAGTGAATTGTAATTTTTAATGTGAACAAAAGAGAAAATTATTGAATATATGAATAATAATCATGTTAACTGTAATTGTTGCGATTTACATTTAAGTACAATTTTGGTTAAATCAAATTTAACGTTCTGGCTTCATCCACTTAATTCATGTTTTAAACCCTTTTCTTGTCTGAGTACATTTCAAAGAGCGTATGCATCTGCATCTGCCCAGAACTATGTACTTTGTCCTACTTACTTGAATGCATTGACTGCCACCACTACTGGGATACCAAAAATTCTGGCATTTTGAATTTGCTTCCGCAGGTTACTGCAACCTTTCTCCAGAAGTGGAATATTCTGCACATGACAGAAAGAGAAACCAGGGGTTAGTTCAGGGAAGGAACAAATGCTAAATGTTTCTTGGCAATCAGCTACTGAATGTTAAAGAAAGCTGGAATGAGAATGAAAGGGGGGAAAAGAAATCACTAATCTACATTGTTTTACAAATGTCACTTTTCCGTTCACGATAAAAAAAAAGGAAAAAGAGACAGACTGAAGAGAAATAAACAGGCTAAACTGGATCAATTGTAATGAAAGAATGTTTACATTCAACTGCAAAGTATTTTCTTTTAAGGAACTACAAGGGAAAAAAAAAAGCAACTTTTCAGAAGAATAGTGACACAAAGAGGAGAATAAGTGAAGACCATACTCATTTTCAGCTAGAAGGCACCACCTTGTCCAAATTTCTTTTGAACAGACCTTCCTTTTGCAGAATGGAAATTTTACCAAGACTGCTCCATGGATTGTTGGAGATCCCTCTTTAAAACAGTTAGAAGCACCTTAAGTTGAGTATTGCTTATGTAATAAAAGTTTAAAATCATATAAAAAACTGCCCTTGATCGAATGTATAAGCCTTTAGCAGTTTTAAGATACTTCTGTCTAATCTATATTTTATAAACAGACATGGTGGAAATAAGGATGGTGTGCAAAGGTTAAAATAGTACGGAGAGGCATAGTGAATGGTCTCAGTCTAAACAAGATTTAGCTGTATTTATTTCCTTTTCCCCCCTTATTTCATGTCTTTAGTTTTTCTATTTCTTACCCTTTCCTGCACTTCAATAACCTGGCTTCCCCTGAAGAGGGACACCATAATGGGTACATATGTATGTAAGTCTTAGGTATTTGTCTTTGCTCTTACATAGGAAAACACCAGCAAATTATGCCTCCAAGAATTCTATGGCACAATCTCTGGGGGCAGGAAGAAGCTGGGAGCAGGATCCATAGTCTGTAGCACGAGCTGTTTATTACTGCTTCGTAGGATAGCCGCTCCTGCATGGACATATACAATTGAATGCCATCCGCCATGGAGCAGAGCAAAGGCCTGCTATCTTAAATTCCTGCTCTCCATCCCACAGTCTCTAAGTGCCCATAAATACTAGTTAAGAAATTCTACCTGGACAACAGTGGGGGCTCCAGTCCAACAAATTTGGCGAGCATCTGGTTGGAGAGGTTCATCCCTTACTATGGTACTCATCAGGTGGGCTTGCAAGTAAGGCCTTCTCTACTCAGGCATTCCCCCAGTTCCTCCACCAAACTTGCCAAAATGCTTAAATGCCTAGCCTCCTTACATTTTAATGATGCTACTGGCATGATTATTTTGTCAGTTTTTGCAATAAAACCTAGTTTATGTGTGGTCTTTTTCCCTGCTCAAAATTTTATCCTTAGAGATAAAACCTTAGCCTTGGTCTCAGTCTGCTGTTTGAAATTCATTCCTCTTGAAATACTTTAAGTGCACATGTACATCAGTAAAGAGGTTACAGAAAGAACAGCATGAAAAATGAAGCCCTTGAACTGTTAGATGGAAGGAAGGTAGACTTCAGCGTGATGGAAGGAAGGAGTTCAGTGTTGGACAGGCTGCTGGAACAAACAGCTCTGCAAATCAAAGTGTTATTATACAAATAAAACATTAGAGTTCAAGTTAGGAAGTAAATCTAGGTAGTTGAAAAGGTCACATACACAAAGTACCTATCGATCCTGAGCACTGACAGTGCTCTATAGGTTATTGTGGGATGAATTTTCATAGATTAACCTGAATCCGGTTTCAGGGGAGTGGGAAGAGAGAACTGGTTCTGTCAAAGTTACAACCTTCTCCTGTGAGAAAATTTTGCTGTTGAATGTTGGCAGCATGATCTAGGGATGCTTTGGAAACTACAAAATAGGGAATTCTGAATCATAATTTCACATCAATAAACCATAGCTTATTGAACTGATAATTTGCTCAACTTTCTATGCTACCACAACTGCACATCTCTAGATGGTTTACAAATCAAATCATAAAAACAATAACATAGCTAAAAAAAAGTCAAATAATTAAATAATTGTCCACAGCTGGTTGGATGGGAAGTTGCTAGTCTCCAAAGGCCAGTCAGAAAATCCATGCTTTAATTACTTGTATAACGAGCTCTGTGCTTGCACACTCCCTCTTCATCTATGTGCTAAAATTCTGACTTTTTAATGCTAGGCTTGTTTAATTAATTTTCCACAATGTTCAAACCTGTTTTGACATCCCAGTTTGCATATGACGCTTAAATCACTCTTTGTTATTTCATGAATGATGAGAGATTGGTCCAAGTTTGGGACATGAGAAGAAAGAAGAAACAAGCACATAGGCACATATGTCATTCTCAGGCCAATCAAACATAGTTCATCAGCACAAGAGCATGACATCTGAACCAGATTTGTAAGATCTTGGCTCCTCATTCCTCAAAACAAGGGGAAAATATGTTCTTCTGAACTAAAGTAGGAGTGTGTGTATGTATATGTATATGAGTGTTGACTCCTGGCGACTACCTGGACTAGTCCCTGCAGTTTTCTTGGCAAGGTTTTTCAGAAGCGGTTTGCCATTGCCACCTTCTTCCTAGGGCTGAGAGATTGGGACTGGCCCAGGGTCACTCAGCCTAAGGTGGGACTAGAACTCACAGTCTCCCAGTTTCTAGCCTGGTGCCTTCACCACTACACCAAACTGGATCTCTCATGTATACATATTCCCTCCATATACACTCCATAGACAACAATATTTATGAGTAGTGCTGAGACTGCTTTGTGTCTTCTGTCTTTTTCTGTCAAGGAGATATCCCAAAGGTTGATTTGTTCTGGTTATGGAAACAGTAACACACTTAACACCTGACAATGAAGGAATCTCTATCAAGGCAGGAATCAGCAAAAATAAAATCAATAAAATCAAATATACATTCAAAACACAATCAAAAGCACAATTGTTACCTCTACAATGTATTCTTTGGGCAAGGGGACTCCAGCTGTAACCTGAAAAGAATAAGAACAAGACAATCAAGGAACAAAAAGATATTCTCTTGGTATCTCAGTTTTGTATCTTTGTATTCCAAACTGAAATTTATTAGCAGGTTTCTTCATGAATGGAGTTTGGGAAAGAATTAAGAAATTCTTCTAGAGTGAACAAATTCTTCCCCATCTGTCTGTATATGTATTCAAATTACAACTGTTTCTTGTTTGAATTTATATAACAATTTAGAAGCTCCAGAAATGTATAATTTCCATTCAATATATGGTCAAAAGAAAAGAGTTTGGAGGCAGCAACATTAAAAAAATAAAATAAAAAGCATCAGAATGTAATGGCTAGCATAAGAATACAATAAAGTAACTCTCATCTCAGCACTAGGGCCACCTGGTTTCTCTCTTTCTAAAGGTGGAACTGCCATGTCCATCTTCTGGTGAACAGAAACGTAACTTCACCAGTAAGTCAAACTACCATTCTCAATCACCAGAAATAAAGTCACCAGAAACAACTATAATAGTATTATCAGAGTGGGTCAACGTAGCAGGGCAAAGCATTCTCCAGCCCATTCATACATTGTGGAGCAGAAATTCATCTTCCCTGATTTTCTGTTTTGTAGAAGAAACAGACTGTTATTGTCTTTTGCCTCTCTAATGCATTTGAGGTAGATTCTCAGAGCCCTGTGCACATCTAGTTTGAACCAGGCACGTTCTCTGGTGCGGTCTGGGACCCGGCAGAAGTTGAGAAGTTGTGCTAAATGAAATTTGAAACTGACCTTGGGCATGAAACAGGAAACTGGTCTTAAAACCATCTTGAAAATATATAGATCCTTCCTGAGATCACCCCTAGTTCCTCAACCATCATATAAGAAGCTAGGGTTACTAAAAAGGCTGTTTTCAAGGTATGAATAATAATGGAAATTTGTCTAATGGGCTTGAAGGAGTTGGTCATTAAAGTCCTGAGTGCTAATGACAGGTCCCATGCAGGGGAACAGTAAATCACTAGGTCTGAGAGAAGCGTTTCCCTAAGGAAACAGTACTAATTAAAATTGTGCCACTCGCCTGTCCAGGAGAATAGAAACTAAAGAAACTGCTTGTCTATGTGTCAAGTTTGCTGCTAACCCTCTCTTCAATCTTGCTTGTAGGAAGTCCAATAGTTCAGAGATCCCTATTGCTGGTGTCACACGTTTCTGTCTTTGCTTCAAATCAACTGATATATCTTAATGGTGGCAGGTCACCCTGGGGCCAAATTGGTCTCTATTGCCAAATCTGGAATACCCATATTCAGGAATTGCCCAGTTCAATTTCTAGGCACATATTGGCAGCTACTCTGAATTTGTATGCAGTACTGAACTTACAGTACACCTGACCTTCCTGTACAGACTGGAAGGTCAGGCGTTTTGGGAACTGCTCTGGGTATTCCTCTCTTTTCTCACTTGGATAGCAAAACAGCAACTGTTCAGTGCCCTCTTGGTGTATTCTGCTGACATGAACAGAAGTTTGTAGTCTCTGAAGGCCATTCAATCTGAATCTGTTCTAACCATTTAAATGGAATTTGCTGTAATGCCATCTCTTTGCAGAAGTTGGTGGGCTCCCTATTCTTTTAGCCTGGTGTCTGTGGCCATCTGGTCTCTGAAACTGACCGCTAATATATGTGAATGTGATGAACCCCTACTGTGTGTTTCTGATTGAATGTGTAAGCAGGTGTGGAGTCCTTGGGGTTCTCTGAGTTTTCTTGCAGATGTTTCATTATCCGATTAGGTAACATCTTCAGTGCTAGAAGGGAGTGGGGTTTGCTTTCTGTTTATATACAGTAGCTTGCCCTGTCAGTGTTGGTGGGGGAGTTGCTTTTTCCCTTGGTAGTTCCTAGATTAGGCTGTTGTTTACAGCTTGATTGTCTGAGTTGGTAGTTCCTTGATTAGGGTATTGTTTACTGCTTGTTTGTCTGGTGTTAATC